TTTACTACATTTTTCATTACTGATCTGTATTTTATTTTTTTTTCCCAATCAGTTATGCAATTGCTTCAAACCGATCGGCTCTTCGTGTTATTCAACATTTTACAAAATTAATTTTCTTTGAAACCATGACAGTAATACTAATACGATTCTCTTTTTCAAGTATAGAATATAATTCCATCTTACTTAATTAGTGCCTCTTGAAATACTCCTCAATTCATTATTAATTAGTATTTACTAACTAATAATAATGAATTTGCGTTAAAACTCACAGCGTAAGACCTCACTACTCGACCAGTGTGACGGAATCGCATCCTCAAAACCCGTGAAGTAAAATTGTAGTTATAATGTCATATATTATAAACTATTGTGCTGTTATTATAAATTGCAGAAACGATTCAGTTGTGAAAAAATATTTCATCCCCTCTCCATAAAAACTGTGTAGGCAAGTAACTGCATTTAATTATATTCACGCCTAAATAACATGAAACAAAAACCTTTTTATTATTATTTTAACTAACCTGACATAATAAAGAGGTTATAGCCTCATAGGTGAAACAACTGTATTAATTGACTAACTAATATTTGGACTTAATTATAAAATGTATGTTAATTTTAAATTTTAAATTTTAAAGTTCAAAATGAGTGGTTCTGGAAAAAGTCTCCTTGGTCTTTGGCTTTACCGAACTGGAGAAGATTGGACTCTGAGAGAGGCATCTCAAACAGCTGTATGATACTCTAATTTTAATAAATTGTTATCAAATTTTTCGCTAAACAATATACATATTACAGCCGAGACCTACAGTGAGTGGTCGACCAGATCAGACAAAATTTGATACAAAGAACTCTGTAATATTCTCATTGAAAAATCGAGTCGGTGGACTTGCTCAAGCACTTCAAGTTTTTCAAGTAAGCAGATTTCATTATGTTAAACAATTTATTGTACTCAATTCGGATAATTTAATATATAAGCAAACGTGAAATCAAAATATAATATAAACAAGCAATGTAAAGTTGATTTTTGGATGAACACTCCGTGGAACTAAATAATTGAATTATAATTCTTCTATATCATTATTAATACTGTCCTCTTTAATTAAGTCAGAATGTAATTGTATTCAAATATATGGCAGGAGAAAAATATAATTCAAACATTTTATTTTTATGTCCTAAATTAATGTAGACAAAATCTTGTATACTTAAGTTGTACAGCTTTAGTGAATCTAATATATTACAAAAAAAATTGTAAAGACAAATAAGTATGTTTATTCTAATTGGAATATTGGAAGCTTAAATAAAACATCTCAAAATGAAAACCCTGTACAAAAATGAACAAATACACATCTTTAAACAATATTATTGCACGGACAAAAAAATAGTAGTTCAGTTTCTTTGAATTTTATCATAAAGAAATATAAATAATAACTCATGCACTTGAGTTGCGTCACTTGAGAGAACATCATATGTTTCCATACCTTTCGGAGCATTAATTTTCATCCACCTCGGATCCTTAGTGATCCTTGTAATATTTATTATAACTACCGAACCTACTAAAATACAACAATTTTGTATTAGCATTGCCATCTACTAATGTCAGACGTTTATCATACAATATATATGTGTATATATATTTATTCATACTTGATTTGATATATTGACCTAGTAGTGAGAATATTTGTAATTTGTATTATTCTTTTTATATCTATTTCTCACGAGAAAAATTAATCATAATCAATTTATTATTTTTTTTTTTATTAATCCTTAAAGCTTGTTATACTATAGTAATGTACAATGTATATTTTAATCCTATAGGATTTAGGTGTAAATGTGTTGCACATTGAATCTAGACCATCTCGCCGTAGAGAATCGGAATTCGAAATTCTGGTAGACGTGGAGTGTGACAATAAAAAAATGGAGCAGTTGACTGGGATGTTGAAGCGTGAGGTTGCAGCTATAAATTTAGCAACGTACGAGAGTGGTGCCGAAGTGCCACCTCCTACTCCGATGTCAGCTACGGCTAGTTTTGGTAAAAATGCAATTAAGCTTATTCAAGTCCAAATTTTTTAATTCAATTATTTTAAAATACTATAACTATTACGTTTTTTTTTATGAATGACTCATTGTGCTATATATTTTATTGTTATTTTACTATTAGACAACTAAAATTAAACATAATTTATTATTCAGTTTATGCAAAAAATTATTTGAAGGAATAATTTTATTTTTATTTAAATGACAATAGTTTTTCCCCTTTACCGATGTTATTCTACAGGTGTTCTTGTAGAAGTCAAACGAAATCACGAAAGTTAGGCTATTGGTAAAACTTTTTTTTTAATAGACTTTGATTATTGTTTGATTGTTAATTTTATGCTATAAGATTTTTCAGAGTTTGAGCTTCCGTGGTTTCCGAAAAAAATTTCTGATTTGGACAAAGCTCAACGAGTACTGATGTATGGAACAGAGTTAGATGCTGACCATCCAGTAAGTTTTTTATATACATCATATAACTAATGGCTGAGAACTTTTTAAGATTTTGTTATAATCTAATTCACTATTATCTCAGGGATTTAAAGATCCGGTGTATCGAAAAAGGCGTGTAGAATTCGCACACATAGCGAACTCTTATAAATAGTAAGTAACATTTTAATATTAGACATTAACGGCAATATTTCTGTGCTGCAATGACACAAGTACTTAATCATTACAAAATACAACGAAATTATCGTTATATGTATTGTCTTAAAACTTTCGATTAGATGCTTAAAATATGACGACATTGTTTCAGTGGACATCCAATACCAAGAGTTCAGTACACGCCTGAAGAAATCAAGACTTGGTGCGTGAATTTCCGTTTGAATTTTCTTATCAATTAAAAATCTACAGTGTATTAATTAATAGGAAAGTCTGTAACCATTTTTATACTTTTTTGGAAATCATAAAAGAATTGTCAACGCATTTCTAAATTTTCTTTTTATATACCATGGTTAAAGCCAAAGAAAGGCCTTTCGTCATATTTTACTAAAATAAAAAAAAAGCCATTTTTAATATTCGTACTACGTCATAAACTAGGGTTATTGATTTTGCGATATCAATAGTCTAGGAAACCCTCTGTGTTTATGAAAAATGTACGCTATATTGCACTGTCTAAGACATTGCGGTAATAAAAGTGTATTTAATTTCGATCAGAACAAAATATTTTGGACCGTATTTTTCTTCTCGCATTACTATACGTATCCTGATCTGTTTATTTTTCAAATAAGTTATTCATCGGCAGAGTTCTCGTTCGGTGGTTAACCTGCTCAGTCGGTAATTAATCCGATTATCTCGAATAAACGTCGGGTAGTTCAAAGTCGTATAGACACCGATATTCAAACGGTTATTGAGTTATCCGGATACAGCGCATTTACGTCTGCGCTTTCATACGACAATAATAACATATAAGCACCTTTACTGCGAAAATCAACTTGATTATTGTTGCGTATACAAGCGAATGCGCACGTATGCATTTTATGAATACTCGCATTGATAATTTAATTGAATCTACAAAACTGTCAAGACGTAATGAAGGGAATTTAATCCTGCGAACAGGATACGGCGAGCGATCCAATAGAGTCTGACCGTCTGTATATGAAATGTCGCCGTTAATAATCACGTCAAAAACAATTTTCTTTGGTGAAATCGATACGAGTGTACATATATATATAT